TCAGCTTAGGGCTGGGAGGGACCAAGCCAGGAATGGCTTGGATCGGGATGGGTCCTCACCTAATGACCCATAGGATTCACTTAACAATGGCAATGGGGACTGCTGGGATTGCCATCCCTAAGCGATGTAGTCGTGTGCCATTGCGCTTTATGACTGCATCTCTTAGCGATGGAAATTCCAGTCCCAATTACCATCATTAACTGAGGACTACCTGTATTACCAATATACATAGTAATAGTTATTTTTAGGCCCTTTTCTCCTATGTTATTGTTCTATTATGAACCTCCAACCTACCCCAGTTGCTATTTAACATAGAAGAGAAGCCTGGGCTAGCTTCAGTTCCATGCAAACAGCTTATGAAAGAAAGCTTCTCTCTCGACTGGTTATCTTCTTTCGTATGTCTGCAGCTCCCACACCTCAATACAGTTTTTCAAAAAGTGAAAAAAAGTAATGATAGAAATGCTATCATACAATTATACTAAACTGCACTATTAATATACTTTAATATGTAGCTTTGCCCTAGATTACACAATAAGCCAAACTAATGCCAGATAATATGAAGGATCTAGGGCTACATATGTAGTAGCAAAGAGCAGGAAATGGTGTTGGCAGCATTCCCAGCACTGATTCCATTAAGTGTGGGCACAGAGCATTAAAGATTACCAGTATCCTTTATGCTGACTGAATTCAAACAGGAAACCAGGGATATGATCATGTGCTTTTCCTATGTTACAACATAAAATGTCCCTTGCCATTTTAAATAACAAGCAAAAGAAGATTCTTAGGCTGCATAGAATCATGTGATATCTTCTATTTCTAGTAGTTTAAGGTTCACTTTGTGCAGATAAATGGAATAATAGATCTACAACAACTAGCGAAACTGAGAGCACTCACAGATTTTGCCACACAAGAACCACTTTGATGTTTGCAGAAAAAACAATACCTATCTCTTGTGTTTCTACTTCTATGTAATGAATTAGAATGAAATCATTCTAAAAACTGCCCACTGGTGACTCTAGAACTTGCTCACAAGTGAGGCTCAAAGCTGGGACACAGTAAATTGATTGCAATGAGACCGCAACATGTTTCCTGAAGTCTCAAATGGCCTTGCTATCCTGGTGATGGATAAAAAGATCATCCAATTAAAAAATAAGTTATTTTAAAAAAATGTTTCAGTTTATTACATTTTATTCTTCCCAACATCAAGAAATCAAAGAAAACAATGATAAATCCTCTGGCCAATTCAGGATTTATCCAGCAAGCTTTATGGCTCCAAAATCCAACTCTGTATTGCACTAATACCATATATCTTAATAAATGAACAAATTCTTGTCTCATTAAAGTGATGCCTTTCAGCTGAGGACATTATAGCACAAGACATTTTTTATTCATCACCTCCAGCTGGACAGAGATAAGGTTTACTAATAAGTTCCCCTATATGCAATCCTTGTCATAGGTCATCCACTGGGGTTATGCAAGGTTGCACTTTCAGAATTGCTAAAATTCTGGGAGTAGGATTGGTCTCTTCCTTCTTTGATTTCTCCCAGTAGCTGATTAACAATATTTATTTTGTTAATTATTTTATTTTGCTTTAAGGCAGGAGTTCTTAAACTATGGGTTGCAATTAATTTAGATGGAGGTCACAACATTTTTTGAAAGCTGTTCAGGTTAGTGCAGGCAAAGCAGTAATTTCAAAACTTGTTCTGCCAGGGCAAGCCCTTGGTAGGTTTATGCAAGAAAAATGAAAAGCAAAGCCTTGAGGAAGCTTTTAAAGATATCTAAACCTGTGGGTCTACCCATCAGTCAAAAATAACCCAACAATCACAGCAGCCCACAAATTTCTGACTTCCATTGTGGTGTTGTAGGGAGCCACAGAGATGACTTGGAGAAGCCACCCAGAAACGGTTAAGATAAGTAGAGCAGCACATTAAGCCTAGGGAGGTGGGAAAGTATTGGAAAGAGACTCAGACTTGTTCTCTGGGGTATAGGAGGAAGGGAAGGGAAAACATAGGCAAAACATCAAAGATATATAATTTCTAGTAAGTGGCATACTGCTGTACGGCCAA